TTTTGAGTCTCTCACAGTCCTAGTTCACATTGTTCATGCAGTGTTTTGTCAAGCTCCAGCATTCTTAATTTGATGAATGGGGCATTTGGCCCACTTACAGACATCAGGTTGAAATTTTAAAAATTCACATTAAATCTTAAATTATAACCATAAAAGATAATTTAAAACAAATACATCATTGAGAGGTGTTACGCTGGTTGCAATCTGTATCTCCATCTGATTTCGTTACGGGAATCTTGAGGCAGAGGTCATGTCCACAGTTAGTTGTCTCTCTTATTCTTTGTTTCTAATAAATTAAAAATAATCCTAACAAATAATTTTAGGCCACTAAATTAAGACTCTGCAGGCTTTGACAGATAACAGTTATAGCAAGCCTAACATGTTATATACATATCAGGCATTTTCCCAGGAGATTTATATTAACTCATTTCATATTCACAACAACCAAGTGTAGGTGCTGTTATTATTCCTATTTTACAAATGAGGCAATTGAATCACATAGATGGTTAACTAGCTTCAAGCCCAAGCATGTGTTTTAGCACCTATACTCTTAACTACTTGGCTATATTGGCTATTCCTAGTTCTGTGCCTCACAATTAACACAAGTCTGACATTGGGGAGCATTATGGAGAGATTTCTCACTGAAGACTGCTTTCAGCACTCCATCACGTAAGATTGACAGCCATTTCACACTCGGTAATGGGAGGGCTAAGTGTTTCAACTTGAGAGAAAAAAGACAACTGTATTTCTAATTCTCTCTGGTTGCATTTGGCTCTGGAATATAGTTCTTTATATTCTGTTGTAGGGTTTGAATGTGTCTTTTAAACATGACCCAGAGAGTGCATCTTAAGAATTATGAAGAGCAGGAAACAGACATGTGGGCACTAGGCTGTCTCCACTAGGGTTGATTACATTATAAACTTTTGATACCATATTCTTGATATTTGATTATTTATAATGAACTTTGCGGCTGGTTTTAAAATTTTTAGCCACAAGTTAATTTATACTTGTTTTAATTAAGAAAAGAAAATATGTCTTTAAAATTTTGGACTTTGCATGTCTATAGCAACAAAATTATATCATATGACATTATTTTTTGTGATTATTCTAGAAATTCTATGTTTGAAAATAATGCTACAATTCTGAGCTCTATTTGCCACCTTTGACAACATTTCATTACAGAAAACACTGGGGATTCGAGGCAAGTGGATCACCCATCCATGCGATTATCTAGAGCATATTATATTTCTATGAAAACTGTAATTTTACATTTCAAATTTGTTAATGGCAGGTCAACAGCATTATCTTTGTATATCATTCTTTTCTTTTCTAGATGTCAAGAAAAATCATGTAACAGAGCACCAGGGACTCTCAGGGATACAGACCACACTTTGGAAAAAAAAAACAGTTCTGGCCAAAAGCTATCAGCAGTTGGTCATGGTGGTCTACTAGGACGGTAACAGTAGCAATTTTGAGCCATATCATAGTTGCCCAAATGTAATATCTGGAATCCAGGAGTCTAAAGCTACATGGTTTTGGACAGTTTGCTAGCTACCCATGAGGATCTGGGAGCAAGTTTCAATCACTGATTTAGAGGGACAGGTCAGAGCAGAGCCCCAAAGTCATGATACACAGGCAAGCTTTGAAATGTTCAATCGATTCAACCGACATCTCAAGTACTTACTTTTTGCTCAGTACTGTGTCCTACTTCTGTGTGATACCCAGCAATGGTCAGTGTCTTACTATTTTTCTTTTGAAGAGACAGAGTTTCAGTTTGTCACCCTCGGTAGAGTGCTGTCGGGTCACAGCTCACAGCAATCTCCAGCTCTTGGGCTTAGGTGATTCTCTTGCCTCAGCCTCTCAAGTAGCTGGTACTATAGGCCTCTACCACAACACCTGGCTATTGTTTTTTGTTGTTGCAGTTTGGCCTGGGCCAGGTTTGAACCCACCACCCTCGGTATATGGGGCCAGCGCCCTACTCACTGAGCCACAGGCACCACCCAGCTTCAGTGTCTTTTACCCTCATTCCAAGACTATATCCATGCAAAAGTCACATGACACATTGTGCAAAGTGTCTTTGAAGAAACTGCTATGGAAACGTGGAAGGAAAATCAGGTCTGAAGGGGTCAGGGAAGGTTTTGTGGAGAAAGAGGCATTTTAGACTGACCTGAAACCGTGGAATTCTGACAGGTGAAGAAAAAGTAAGAAAAAACACTCTAATTTTTCCAAAGAGTGGCTGTGACTTACTGCATCCAAAAACACTCCAGTGGTTTGGTGACGGCATAGCTATGAAAGCAGACGGACTGCATTCACGAGGAACAACCTTCTCCTTTATGTGTTGGAGAATATTCTTCCAGAATGGTCAGTCGGCCTCATGTGCTGGACTCAGACATGACCGGCCCTGCTGCCTCCCTTATTTTTCCTATTCTTGGGATAAATTGGGACACCAGCCTCGAGGGCAGCCAGTCTGGCACCTTTAAAATCACAAGCACAGAAAAAGAGTGAAGAACAAAAAATAAAAATAGCCCTACACATCAGCAGGACAGAAAAGGTGCCCGAATGTTCCCTTTTCACATTAACAAAAATTTACAAAGTATGCCTTTTGGGGAGGCACTCAGAATGGAAAGGAAGTTACTCAAGTATAGCCTCCCCTTGCCTCTAGACCAACTTTCACTGCACGTTGTGAAAAGCACACAGCATTTTCAATGCCCATCTTTCAGACAAGTATCTCAGGATTTTGAAACAAGAAAAACCACAGGAATGATACCAAATAATCAAGACATCAGAGCAGGAAAATGACTAGCTGATGAGCAGCCTGCAAGAAGCTGGAGCTCAGACCAGGGCTGGTGGGAGGAGCCTGGGGGCAGGGCTTAGTGCTGGACCAAGAACCAGAACATTCTGTCAGCGACTTAGGACTCCTAAATCTGCTCATACAAAATAGGGTGTTTCTATATTACCAGCAAGCTTTCCATCAACAGTGGAGCCAGCCATAGATTCCTCTTACCCATTTCCTCCTCTCTCCCACCTACAGCAACCTCAGCAAGCCCTCTGACACCTGTGCTTTCCACCACACGCCTACTACCAAAATCAGGTTTTGTTATCTTTCACAGGTCATTGCAATGGTTTCCTGATTGTTCTGCTATCTCTAATTTACTTCCTTTTACAAACAGGAAGCTTTACAGATGTTTTGGTAATTGAGCTAGGTCTAAAAGGTTAGAATTTGAACAAGTCATTTTTAGGTATGGCATGGGTGGAGTGTGGCCAGGAAGGTTGAACGAGGGAAGCAGAACAGTGAAATATGGGTTTTCATCTTTATTGTCTCTCTTGGTAATATAAATTTATTTCTTGCATAATGTGAAAATACATTTTCTATTTTAAGATGTTCTTTTCCCCCGGATCACTACATGATTAAATCAATAGACCACAGATTTGCAAATGCTACTTATTTTGGAGGAGCCCAACAGTGTCCATAGCCCTTCTGAGGGCTGATGGCGCAATGACCAGGGAAGACACGCTCTTCAACTTGCACGTTACTCAACATCAAAAGTAAAGCAGCAAATTCAGGCAGGTATCAAATCCTCCTTGCTACTTGACTTATAAATTTTAAGCATAAGCAAAATAATGCATCTTTAAATATTATAATGAATTAAAGCTCTATATGCCGATGGTATGATATACCAGTTTTCTCAATAAGCACCTTACTCAACATACGTTGAAAAACGTCCTGTTTTAAATGTTGAATCAATCACCTTACGTAAGGTTAATGAAATGATGATGAAGTCTTCCTAGAAATAAAGCTAGATCTAATTTATGCAACACATGGCCATGAGTTATTTTCCTGAAACATAGTCTCCATTAAGATCATTCAAAAATAATCTTCTGTTGAAGACACCAAAAGATAACAGAACAAATCTGCATCCTTTATGTGACGGGCCTATATGACACGGACCGAAGGTTCTAGGTTGGTGGCATTTTTTAATCACCAAAGCTTGCATTTCCTGGGGCCGCGTAGCATTAGTGTCGGTAGTAAGAGACAACCTATTCCTTAAACTGCTCTTGTTCTTGGTCAGTGATTTCCGACCTTCCCTGCATACTGCAATCATTTGGAGT